TTGCCACAAAATACCAGCATTTCTGTCCTGTAGAACAAGATTTCCAGAATCCAGGAGCTGCACTACTGGGTTTTGAGCTTCTTTCTTTGAGTTTGCTGCCCAGACAACACTCCCGCTGCTTTGATTGAGGAGTAACAGATTGCCTGTGCTGTTTATCATCAAAACGCCAGACGTGTCATTAATCGGGTTACACCTGTTTGCAACCCAAACAATAGTTTGAACTGGGATATTCTTGTACCAAATTCCCAAGTAACGGCTCTTGGCAGAGCTTCCTGAGCTGAAGAAGCCCAGTTCAAAGCTTTCATCACTAGAAACTAAGGTTCCACCATCACTAAGATTGGTGGATAAGTTGATGATATCAATTCCACATGAGAATCTAGTGAAGAAAAACGGTAAGAGGATGATAACAATAAACTTTAAAAAAAGAATGCCCATTTCTTTGCAAGTTTTCATGAATAAAACAATAAAACCCTTATAGTGGGAGCTTTAAAAGAACACAAGTCTTTTATGTTGACTAGCGTGCAAGCCTTCCAATTTCTTACAACAGCTGTCTCTTTCAACCAGTCCCAACCACCCTTGAAAAATATAGTTAGGCATTAATTTCTCTGGGAACTAAAATTAGAAAGAAAAAAAATGAAAACTATAGAGTAAAATACAAAGACTTTTAACAAGTCAAGAACATCTCATTCCCAGCTTTTCTTTCAGCAATGACATGCAAGAAAAGAATGCCTCATGGAATGGGTTCTTTGACTTGTATGCTTTCTTGGATTCTTTTAACAAGTCAAGAACATCTCATTCCCAGCTTTTCTTTCAGCAATGACTTGCAAGAAAAAGAATGCCTCATGGAATGGGTTCTTTGACTTGTATGCTTTCTTGGCTTCTTCACCTAAAACACGATTGTCATCACCTCCACTAACGTCAACAAGATTTAATGCGGGGGGGTGCATCACCGTGCATTTATCCTAGTCATTTGGTCCACGAAATGAGGCTAGGTATTATCTTCAATTTTCCTCTACTTTCCCAGTAACCAAACAGAGAGGACATGCAATTACAATGCAATTTTGATCTCATACTCCCAGTCAATATCGATCATGACTTCACCATCCCCAAATACCATGCCACAAATCTGAA